GCAGCGGTTCGGGATGTCCTTGTTCTTCGGAGGTTCCGACCCGGCTGTAGCGGATGAGTGGCGGGTGAGATTGGAGCGGTATTTCCAGTCGATGAGGTGTCCGGAGGCGTATCGGGTGGACCTAGCGGCCCACTACTTGGCGGGTGATGCTCATTTGTGGTGGCGGAGTGTGCTGGCCAAGAGGGGGCAGGGATTGGCGGTGTGGGGAGATTTCTTGGCAGAGTTTAATGCCAAGTATTTTCCGGCGGAGGCATTGGACCGGATGGAGTCGCAGTTCCTGGCGTTGACTCAGTGCGAGCGGTCGGTGCGGGAGTACGACTCGGAGTTCAGCCGACTCTTGGTGTACTCGGGGCGTGCGGGAGATCCTGAGCAGATGCAGGTGCGTCGGTTCATGAAGGGTCTCAGCCCTGACATGAGGGTACGGTGCAAGGTGCGGGCCTATGCATCGCGTGTGGAGCTGGTTGAGCTAGCGGCGGGGATCGAGGACGAGTTGAGAAGTCACGGGGTGATTCCCAGTCCGTCGGCGCAGCCGAAAAAGACCCAGCCACAGTCAGTTCCGAGCAAGGGTGGCAAACCTGCTCAGGGACAGAAGAGGAAGTGGGATGACACTTCCAGGGTGAGCCAGGGTGATCGGAGGTGCTTCAGGTGTGGGATTACGGATCACAGGGTGGCAAGCTGCCCGAAGAAGGGCGAGCCGTGGGTTGATACCCGTGTCTGTTACCACTGCAGAGAGACGGGGCACATCAAGACGAGGTGTCATAAATTACAGCAGATGGCGGTAGCAGCGGTGCAGCCGGTGATGCAGCCAGTGGTGCAGCAGTGGGTGCAGCCAGGATTGCAGTTGGCAGGGCAGTCGTTGGCTCAGCTGGGAGCAACGCCGGTTGCACAGATAAAGGGATCGAGGGGGTATACGACCGTGGAGACAGGAGAGCCAAGCACTGGACGGCCGATCACAGGTTTAATTCTAAGACTCATTCTGTTTACTTCCGTTGTTTTATAATTTGTGTTGTTTCCTGTGATTTTGGGGTGGGCGGTCTTAGTGAAAAGGGTTTGTGTAGGGACCCTGTTGGTGGGCGGGTTCATGTCCCACGTGATGTTTGATTCTGGAGATACGAATAGCTTCATTACCCCAGAGTGCGCGACGGGTGGTAACATACGAGGAGATCCCGATGGTTGTTATGGAGCCGTTAGAGTCGCAGGAGGCGCGTTGCTAGCGGTTCAGGGACGGGCTAGTGGTGTGGATGTACAGATTGCGGGAGAGTCGATGCCGGCAGATCTGTACATTAGTCCGGTGGAGTTGTATGATGTAATTCTGGGCATGGATTGGTTGGAGCGGCACAGAGTTCATCTGGATTGTCACCGGGGGAGAGTATACTTCGAGCGTCCCGGACCGAAAATGTATTTCCAGGGTGTGAGACCGATTTCGGGGAGTTTAGTGATTTCGGCGATTCAGGCGGATAGGATGATCCGAAAGGGGCGGGAAGCTTATTTGGCTACGATTGTCATGCCAGAGACGGTTGATGAGGTAGTAGTGGATAAGATCCGGGTGGTCCAAGAGTTCGAGGATGTGTTTCAGTCGTTGAAGGGGTTACCACCATCTCGGTCTGATCCCTTCACGATTGAGTTGGAGCCCGGGACAACGCCGTTGTCTAAGGCTCCGTACCGGATGGCTCCAGCGGAGATGGCGGAGCTGAAGAAGCAGTTGGAGGATCTGCTGGGTAAGGGTTTCATCCGTCCTATTGTTTCACCGTGGGGTGCACCGGTGTTGTTCGTTAAGAAGAATGATGGGAGTTTCCGGCTGTGTATCGATTACCGGGGACTTAACCGAGTCACGGTGAAGAACAAGTATCCTTTGCCGCGGATTGATGAGTTGTTGGACCAGTTGAGGGGAGCTATGTGGTTCTCTAAGATCGATTTGGCGTCGGGTTACCATCAGATTCCTATCGACGAGGCGGATATCCGTAAAACGGCGTTCAGAAAGAGGTATGGGCATTATGAGTTCGTGGTGATGCCTTTCGGGTTGACTAATGCACCAGCGGCGTTCATGAGGCTGATGAACAGCGTGTTCCAGGCGTTTCTGGATGAGTTTGTTATCATCTTTATTGATGATATCCTGGTGTATTCTAAAAGTCATGAGGAGCACGAGTTAGACTTGCGGGCAGTGTTGGAGAAGCTGCGCGAGCAGAAGCTGTATGCTAAGTTGAGCAAGTGTAGTTTCTGGCAGAGAAAGATGGGGTTTCTGGGTCATATCGTGTCTGCAGAGGGAGTTTCTGTGGATCCAGAGAAGATTGAGGCTATCAGAGATTGGCCTAGACCGCAGAATGCCACAGAGATACGGAGTTTTCTGGGTTTGGCAGGTTACTACAGGCGGTTTGTGAAGGGCTTTGCCAGTAAAGCTCAGGCAATGACCAAGCTGACGGGTAAGGATGTTCCTTTCGTGTGAACTCCTGAGTGTGAGC